TACGGCTTCTGACAAAAAACACATCTGCTTATAGTAAAATAGCATAAGCTGATTGCATAATTACCTCGGATTGCATCAGATAGTCTGCATTCAACACTAACATGCTCAATGTCCTTAGCAATTACTCTCTGATGTATGATTGCATGGAAGATAGTGATAGATCCCATCTGACACTAGCAACATGTCAAAATCAGCCTTAATCCCAGCTGCTGTATTCGCCCACAACAAGCGCAACCTGACACTGTGAGGTAAATCAGAATGGCGCAACATGCTTTAAATACAGTTATAGTGAAAGTTAACATCAAGACTGAGCTAATCCTTGATTGTCGTACACTGTTCTTCCGATGTCGACTATCTCACCATGGTGCAGTCTGGTCTTACTGATATGTACGCTCAACAACATGCAGCGCAGACCTTACGTTTGGTTATTAAACAATAGAGTAGCACGTTTAAAGTGTAAGAACAACTTGTCAGTGCTCTCTGGTGGATAAATTATACAGTTAAGACTATTTCTGTACTGATATTTCTTGTTTCTTATTGGCTGACATACAGTATACACACACGCGATGCAATGAATTGTATAAGTAACAGAGCATACTTGGAGTCTTTCGAAGGAAAGACTGAAGAGCCGTACATGCAAAAAGTGATAGATGCAGATGTGTGGGGAGTGAAAAAAGGGACGTTGAGAGAGAAGTTTAAACCTGCCTACTGTAACACCTCCACACACCTAACCAATTACTGCGTAAAGATTGTGAGATTGGTTTGGAAAGTTGCAAAATATGTAATTTCCCATCAGTTCTGACATCGGAAAGGCCTGAAGGGAGGGGGTTTCAGGTAATCCAATCAGCACTTTGTTTGAAGCATACCGTCACTTTTAGCCTTTCACATACACTACCTGGTTTTGTTATAGCACCTTAAAATCCCATATTATATTTTAACCCGCTATTTTGAAACTCAGCTCAGAACTAAGCACCAAGCTGAGCTGAGTAAATGAATAAATGCGATGGTGTGAGGGATATGGTTTCAGAGTGGTGTGGAAAAGATCTAAATGTAGGAGATGGTAATGTGTGGCGCAAAGATAACCGTAGAACATCTGCACACCTCTGTCCTCCACTCATCTTTTCATCTGCAAGACTCCTCACACTGTTTGAGATGGAGGCTTATCACCTTATCCTCCGTCTGTCTCTGGGTTTGTGTGTGTGTTATATTTCACTACCTTTCATCCTTCCAGTAAAGATGACCTTGACTCACATACAGCACATCTTGTTCCTCCATTACAGAATATCTCTACAAATTTTAATTTAATTAAAACTATTTATATACTCATCAATGAAGTTGGGTCTGTTCTCTAAGCTTTGACAATCGTTAGTTACATCCCAGCAGTATTTCAATCACCAGTTTAATTGCTGAGATCTGGGAAATACATTAACACACACCAGTAGTTACATTTATTCAAATTATCGAATCCACCATTAAACCCACACATTTATTTGTAACCAAAATGAATAAGAAATTACTTACACCTGTTTAAGAGCAACCCGGTTTCACTCCCAAGTCAAAATATGTAAGTATCCCTCCAGCGTAATTTGTGGACTTTCTAGCCATCAAAGTCAGTTGACTCCAAGATTGATTGATTGATTCCAAGAATGAGAAAGTCTGCATATGGAGTTGGAGGGGTGGATGGATGGCTCAAACAAACACAGGCCTTTTCCTAATCCTAACCAAGTTGTTTTTGTACCTAAACCTAACCAAACAGCGACCATTTTACCATGCAAGCTTTATTGTTTAAAGGACCAGTGTGCAATTAGTGACATCTAGTGGTGAGATTGCAACCAACGGAAACCCCTTGACTCAACCAAGCGCAAAGGAGAGACTACTGTGGAAGCGAAACTCGCAAAAAACACGAAAGGCCCTATCTAGAGCCAGTGTTTGGTTTGTCCTGGGCTACTGTAGAAACATGGTGGACTCCATAAAAAGCGTCTAAAAACGACTCATTCTAAGGTAGCAAAACACAATGATTCCTATATTATTGATATTGTGTGTATATTTTGTAATATACACTAATAATCCTCCTAAATGTTACACATGTGTAACTGTGTGTAACCGGACATTGCATATTTATTAACTTGACCATGGAGCCTTGCCCGTCCAGAAATGACGCTTGTTGGATACCTAAAGTGTTGTATTTTGAAGCAGAGAGCCAACTGCCCAAGCAGCAGTACTGGATGAGGTGTGAGTGACGTTGTTTAGGATAGTAAAGTAATGAAAGAATGCTGTGAGGTTAAAAAAAAAAAAAACAGCGATTTAATTAAAAAAATGTAATATCAACGGTATGGTATGACTTAATAGCTTGTATCATCTTTTCACCTTCATCCTGATTCATGGAAGATTAAATATATTATTTTACCTGTTGCAGCATCCTCAGATTTCAGTTATGATGTAGGTGAGTATAATATCCAAAGTAATAGTGACCAAAACCACAGGCATATTACTCAGGTAGTAAAAAATCTAAATTATTCTTTTGTGTGCCCTGACACTGTGCTCATTCATATTCAGAAAATGTATGCTGGACAACTTCTGTCTCAGTGAAATGCTTGCTGGGAATGTTTAGGAAGCCCTGCATTAGCTCCTGGCTACAGTATCTGTGAGCAGTACTGCTATCAGTGGGCTGCAGCTGCAGATGCAGACTGAGCTTAGAAACCAACAAAGAGAAGGGTTTCCTCTGACATGAGCATAAACAAAACAGGGCTTCATTAGAACAGCTAAGGCCATTCAAATCCTATAAAAGGCAAACTCTTTGTCTGAAATGTATATTTATCTGAAAGGATGCATATTCATTTACTGCTACTAGCTGCTGCTTAGAGGTTGAAAAAATGAATTACTTTATTAGCATTTCCATGTACCATACTGTCCTGTCCACTGATACCTCAGCTCTCAGGGCTCCTCCAGTACCTTCACAACAGGAGGAAAGTATGTGAAAGCACCAGGACACACTGAGGGATGGACCGGGGCTCAGCATTATATTGACTATATTTAACACTTTCTATCTGCCTGTAGACCATCAGTAAGATGGTAATTTTCCAGACTACTTGCGTGTCTTATATTATTTTTTCAAAAGATGGGAAAAGATCATCTTAATGAAATTCCAGCTGTTTTACAGCTGATATCAGCACAAGCCTAAGTATGAAGAACAAACTGTTCTCAGGGCACACAGTTCAGCTCACAGTATTCCAGCTATTCTCTGTCAGTGGCAGGAACCCTGGTGCTTTCTTGTATAATGGTTGTCTAAATATTTCACCCTGTAATCCCAAGCGCCTTTAATGGAAGTCAGTGAGTTTATGCTAAATATGAAGATTTCCACTTTCAAGTACCACAATGGGCCGCTCTGCATGCCCTGAATAGAAGTGTCAGGCTGCTGGAAACCCCACACCTCCTTGCCCAAGTCTAGCTTAGACATCACCTGGGGTCCTGGAGGCTCTATTTCCCTACCTATGTCTCTCTGTACCACTCTTTTTCTGTAAAAGAAGGAAAACAGTGAAGAAGCCCATAACCCAACTGTCCACAACTAGTGAAACTTGACAGTAAAGGGGAAAATGCTTTTATTTCATTGTGCATGAAAATGTGTGCTGGGGAAGTGGCTTTGGAGGGGGTGGGATTTTATCAGTTGGATACTTTCAAAATCTAGCTTTCTCTTTTCTTGCCTACCCTAGTTTTAATGAAAACCACATTTAAGGATTCCTTAAATAGAAGTTACTTCATAATCTGAGTTATTCAGCAGCTCAGTTTATAATTATCTGACTGGAAAAATGTTAGATGCAGGTGATGATGATCAATTTGTCTATCATACTTCAACCAATTAGATCAACAAACCATATAACGTAGTTGGGAGAAGAGTGAAAATATCTTTTCAATCTAGAAAAGCTTTCAGTGCCGTTCTTTGCTCTTCTTTCACTGAGAAGAGTTGTGAAATAACTAACATCTATACTAATTCTTTAGCAGCTGCCATTGTTGTTTTTGAGCAAGCAGTCACTTCTCACACACATTGTCACACCTAGCATTAAACCATGCCCGTAGTTGTGATCTCGCATGTCCAGCTGCCTTGCAAGGTTACAACTAAATGTCACTGTAGTAAAAAGACAATAGACATCATTTTCACTAATTGGTTTTCTATTGAAATGTGTCAATTGTGACATTTCACAAATAAAACCTTCCCCATCAAACCCACAGCCAGTGTAGTCTATTTAGATAACATTCTGATAAATGCTAGGGCAGCCAGCAGTGGTCAGTGGGCATTAAACGTATAGAAGAACAGCTCATTAGCAATAATGCTAATCAACTGAGTCACTCAAATGCAGGTTGGAGTGGGCTGTTGAGTCTCAACTCTTTCAGTAAACTGATATTACCTAATTTGTTTGATTATTCTTGGGCTTAATTGTGTCTAGTTTTATTTTTACTATAATAGTTATATCGTACCCAACAAAGTCATCGCGTAGGTCTGGGAACACAGAGATATCCATAAAAACATACACTCAGTGGTCAAAGTTGAAGAATGAAGTGCGGCTGTAAACTATGATGGATGTTTTCAACAGTTTTAAGGACAACTGAGAGTAAAAATAGGGTAATAATTTTACTGTTCAGCTGGTTTTCTCTTCGAAAGAAATGTGTCTATCCTGTTTCTTTCTCCCACCCAATAAGCTTAGAAATGTATATTATCACTGCAGCCCAAAGTATTAACGAGATAATGACCATTTAACTATTCTTAAAGCTTCACCTAACGTGTTATTACAATCAAAAGGGCAGTCTGCCTATTAGATTATAAGATATCTGAGCAACACTTACATTTTAGTGGCACTAAAGTAAAGCTCAGGTGGTCACCAAAATATCCAAAATGATTGTCATAAATATTCAGAGCAGATTTCATGATCTGATCGGAGGGTGTTGAAATATCTTTCTGTCTGACGAAAAGCAGGCTAACAGCGTTTTCTCCTCTGTGTCTGCAGGTGATGAGCATCCTCAGTAACCCCAGCGGTGTTTCCTCGCAGCCACAACACGACTTTTCCATCTCACCACTCCACAGCGCCTTGGACTCCTCTCCATCCAACGCTATCTCAGCGAGCTGCAGCCAGCGTTCGGCTGATTCCTCCATTAAGACAGTGGACAGCCTTCCGTCATCCCAGTCTTACTGCCCCCCGACGTACAGCACCACGAGCTATAGCATGGACCCAGCTGTGGCTGCCGCTGGCTACCAGTACAGTCAGTACGGCCAGAGTGAGTAACCAACATTTTTATAGAAACCATGTTTGTGTTACTAATGGCACAATTATATCACTAGTGAGTGACTGTTGTAGTAACCATTTTCTCACTTTCTACAGTATGTGAGCATGGCAACTATTTATGATGATGGTTAGGGAAAGATGAATAATAACAGTTGATAAAAAGGCTGTGATTGGGCGCCCGGTTAGCTCAGTTGCTGGCGTCCCATGTACCGAGACTGAGTCCTTGCTGCAGTGACC